AAGTGCTCTATATCATTAATCATCAGGGAGATGCAGACCAAAACCACAATGAGATATCATTATACACCAGAGACTGGCCCACATCCAAAAGAACAAAAGCAACCGGTGCTGGTGTGGATGTGGCGAGAAAGGGACCCTCCTTCACTGCTTTGGGTGTGCTGACTGGTTCAGCCCTTTTGGAAAACAATACTGTTTTCTCATACGGATGATTCTCAAAACATTAGAAATTGAGCTTCCATTTGATCCAGCAATACCACTCCTGGGAATATAGCCCGGAGAGTCAAAAAAGTATAGTCAAAGTGACATCTGCACTTGTTTGTTCATTGCAGCACTCTTTACAATAGCTAGAATCTGGAAAAAACCTGAGTGCCTGAGAACAGATGACTGGTTAAAGAAACTTTGGTACATCTACACAATGGAGTACTATGTAGCTGTTAGAAAGGATGAAGTCATGAAATTTACATACAAGTGATACTACATGGAAAGTATCATGGTAAGTGAAATAAGTCAGAAAGAGGGACAGGCATAGAACGATTGCATTCATCTGGGGAACATAAAGTAACAAAATAGGAGACTAACACCCAGGAATAGCTGAAATAAATACCAGGAGGTTTACTCCAGCCATACACTCTAGGGGTAAAAGCAGCTCAGATAGAAAAGGGAGCACCAAGTAAACAGTGTTGGGAAGATCCTCCCAGGATGGGAGATGCATGCTGAAAGTAGACTATAGACCGAACATGATTGCCACTCAATTCCTCCTTTGCAAACCACAGCACCCAAAAGAAGAGAAAGAGCAGAGGGGAGTACCCTGCCACAGAGGCAGGGTGGGGTGGGGGATGGGGGATGGGAGGGATACTGGGATTAGTAGTGGTGGAGAGTGGACACTGGTGGAGGGATGGGTGCTCAATCATTGTGTGACTGAAACCCATGCACAAAAATTTGTAAGTCTACAACTGTATCTCTTGGTGTTTCACTAATAAAATTTAAAAATAAAATAAAATAAAATAAGAAGTGTCTAGACCAACCAAAAAAATAAAAACCCAAGAAAATACCTTGAAACTAATGAAGATGGAAATTCAATATACAAAAATCTACATGATGCAGCAAATGTAATTCTAAAATGGATGTTTATAGTAGTACAATTCTAATTCATGAAGCAAGAAAAAATATGAACTAAATAAATTATCATTACACCTACAGGAACTACAAAAAAATTAAACTCCGAAAATAGCACAAGAAAGAAAATAACACAAATCAGACAGAAACTTAAAAGGTAATTTTTAAAATGATCAATGGAATCAAGAGCTGACTCCTTGTTAGAAATATCAAAGAAAATATCATTTCATCTCTTTGAATAATCTCTTTGAATAATAAAATGAAATCAAATGAAGTATCTTTTAAAAGGTAGGACAGAAGAAAAGAATGAAATTCACCATTACCTTACATTGTCTTAAAAAAAACTCAAAATGCAAAAAGACTGGCACATTGAATATGTCACGAGTAGCTTGCTGGGCTTTGCCCCTCGGGCAAGATACTCTCGGTAGTTTGCAGGGCTCTCCGAGAGGGGTGGAGGAATCAAAACCAGGTTGGCCATGTTGGCTGTGTGCAAGGCAAATATGCCTTACTCACTGTGCTATCAGTCCAGCCTCCAATTAAAGACAACCTACTAAAATATTCACAAATCACATATTCAATGTCTTGAGGATATTATGGCAAGAGAAATAAGTTAGACAGAGATAAATACTGTAAAATTTTACTAACACATGGAATTTAAAATACAAAATAGACAAAAAAAAAACCCTAAAGTCATAGAAATAAAAAAGATTGATGATTACCAGAGAGAAGTGGGGTTGGAGGGAAGGTGAAATAAATGGGTGAATTTCTCTGTTTTTATTTGACAGAAGGGACTCTTCATTAATGCTCATGGGTAGCAGGGCAATATTTGGCAGTACTTAGCTAACTGAGTCAGTAATTCAGAAGTCAGACCACAAGGCAGTTCAGGCACTGTAGTGCCATAGGATGAATAGAGCCACCTCATCAGTGCTTGGGGACTTCCCATTGATGTTCCGGAGATCCTGTGTTGCTGAACACCATGTATGTACACTCTCTAACCTCTATGCTGTCCTCCTGGCCCCTAACTTTCTTCATAAGATGATTTTGGAGTCAGTTCCTGTCACTTGATCTGTAGTTCTTCTAGATTTGATGATATTGAGGAATTCTTACAGCAAGATAAATGGTAATTTCTATTCTAAATTCATCATACTTAACAGGATACATGAAACTTTAAATTCTCACACAGGAGTCAAGGATATGGCTCAAGGGGAAGTACACAATTCTTGCCTGTGTGAGTCTCTGAGTTTCATCTCTGGCACCACATGGTTTCTCAAGTGATACTCAGTGACCCCCCTGAACATCATCACAGTAGAAATTTTTAAAAAATATTCTAGCACAGTATTATTCCTTAATGATAAGTTTATACAGTATATATTAAGAGCATACTATAGGGTTTTTACACACTCTATCTGGAACACTTCTACTCAAGAACTTGATCCTTCAGTTCAGTCTCCTGTTGATCACACAGAATTATCTTCTCAGCAGGAGAATTGGTTTTTAATAGGAAGCTTGGCACTAGGCAGGGGTGAGAGGATTAGTTAGGGAAGGGAAACTAGGACAATGTGGGAGGGGAAAAGTGCCTGTGACAGACGTAGGCCTGGGGTGGGAGGGACACTGGGGACATTGGCAGAGAGTAGTGGACACTGTTGAAGAGATTGGTGTTGGAAAAATATAAGCCTGAAGCTCAATCATAAATACCTTATAACTTTGTAATTCATGGTAATTTGATTAAAAAATCATCTTCAGTATCCACTTCCACCTTCAAGTCTACACTCTAAATGAGGGTTTCAATGTAAGTTTTAATTATATATACAGATTGAGCTGAATGGTTCAGAAAACATAATTCAAATGCAGTGACAGATGCTAACATTCTAAAAGGAAAAAAGTCCAGGAACAGCTCAGTGGTAGAATCCCTGCCTTGTAGGCAAGAAACCACGAATTTAATCCCCAGCACTGAACCACATAATCCCCAGCAATTCCCCACAGGTAGCACTGTTGTTTGTATCATCAGTGCCACAACACAGTGTGTGATATTTGGTGCACCAAAACCAGGGACATGAGCAAATTAGTGTTAGATCTCTGGTCAGTACAGTTGAGTGTGCAACTACCGTAACCAGATGTACAACGCCCAGAAAGGACTGGAACCCAAGAATGACTGATCACACAACCAAATATGTGACAACTTTTCAATGCAACAGAGCAGCACCAAATGGGAAGGGAGTATATAAATTTATAAATTAAATGAGGTCCAGAAAGATAGTACAGGGAATTAAGGCAAGCCTTGCCTTACATGAGGTCAACCCTGGTTCAGTCCCTGGCACAGAATATGATTCCTCCAGTAATGCCTAGGTGATCTTCTGAGCCACAGAGGAAGAGTAAGCCTGGGTGAGCATCATTGGGTGTGCTTCTCCCCTACAAAAAAGGAAAGAAAGAAAGAGAGAAAGAAGGAAGGAAGGAAGGAAGGAAGGAAGGAAGGAAGGAAGGAAGGAAGGAAGAGAAAGCACAACAAAAAAATAAAGTGAAAGCAATCACTTGTTTATGAGAACATTGATAAACATACCGTGTAAAGATAAAGAAACATACCATGTAAGGATAGAGAAAACTCATAGAGAGACTTAAAAATAACAGGTGGTTTTCCCTAAAAAACGGCATAGCCCTCCCTGAGTCTGATGTTACAAGTGAAACTGTGGACCCTGAATGATGTTGCTTCTTGCCTTAATCATCCTGTGGTTACATGTGATTGGAGTAAATTGGAAGTGAAACTTCTTACCTAGCTTTAAAAGAAGGTAGGGACCTAAATAACTCGGCTGTACTGTCCTACCTCATGGACTTCCCCTACTTGAGATTCAACTTACCCTTCCCTCAGGACTGCAAGGAAACCTCTGCCTATTGGTAAATGACAAAAAGTAAATTCACAACTGACACTCTTACAATTCTTAACTGACAAGGTGTAGGAGACAAAACTTGCTCTCATGTTTGTCTCATTTTTTACATCAAAACAAACAAGTACAACTTATGATGCATCATAAATTGCATTCTATTCAGATTCAAATATGCTTTGAAAATCGAGTACCTAATATTACTGTTTACTAATAACCTTTTGATTAAAAATCTTCCCTTTACTTTAGACTCTGCCTCTTTATATATTCTCCTCCCCTCTCAAAGTCAAGCAAGAGGAACACAGCAGACATTCTCCCACCCGCTGCTATGTTCAATGAACTATAAAAAGTATTATGATCACTGCAAACTTTTCCAGATCTGGTCCATTATGTTGAAGTCTTTATTATTTCCCTCCTTACTTAAACAAATGCTACACTGAAAACAGAGCGGCTTCCACTCTGAAGACATGGTAAGCCTGGAATGCAGATAGAAATGTGTTTACTGGACAGTAAAATGAGACTTGGAAAAACAGAACACCTTAGAACACTGGAAGGGATCTGCTGAGGATGGTTTACTAGTAAGTGGCTTACACTGAGCCTATAGAGTTGAGTAAAATTTTCTTACAGTTTTGTGACCTCTGAGACAAATGGAAATTTTAAATAATAAAGGATCCTACTATAAATTAGAGACACCTGGTTTTAAAAGTGAACACAGACAGGGCTAGAAATGTTCAGGGCAGCATGTAACATAGCAGGTACATGTCTGATTAGTTCTAATTAGTTGAATCGTCAGAGATGCTGATCTTTAGCAATATCTCAAGCACCTCTTGTAGATGAGACTAAATTCATGAGCACAAGTTTTAATGTAGAGTCTTTCTAAATATCTGATATTCCTAATAATTACATGTCCTCCATGTAATTATTGCTTTGTGGTTACTATAAAGGAAGTTATATATATAACTTACATGGAGGAAAATTTTTCCTGAGAGATTAAAGCATGAGCTTGCAACCAGCTGTGAATGTTATTTATTTCAGCTTATAAACATAAAATTCTCAGTTTAATTTGACAGAATTGGTCAAATTTAATTTGACATTCAAATCCACTTTCAAAACAAAAATGTCTTACTCTTGTTTACAAGTCACATTTTTCATCATTTGCTTACCTCCAGAGGAATGTCTAAAACACTTTAGATGTTTCTAACATACTGTTGCAAATGGGTAAAGAGATTTATTGTAGAATACTGCAGTAGCCCACTCTTCAATGCACATAACTACTCCCCTTATTTTATTGAAGCAGTTCTTGATTATTTAATATAAATAGAAATCTAAAGGAAAAAATATCTACAATCTTGGATTAAGAGTATGCTGGAAACAGGTGACCTAAACTAGTGGTTTTCAACACTTTTACACCTGTAGACAAGCACCGATCCATGGACTGGTAGTTGAAAACCACTGACCTAAAGCTTATATACAGAATATAAACATATTTAAATTTTATATGTACATAGTCAAACGTTTCCTATTCATTATAAATAGTTTTTAACTTAGATTCTACAAAAATAATGATTGTGTTTGGGCACATGCAAATGATCCACATAAACTTATTTATAAAACCATTTCTATGCTTTTTTTTTGCCTTTAAATATAAATATGGCTGTTTTGCCATCAACTAAAGATTTAAGTGCAAATCCCCAAAGTCCCCAGTTAAAAGTATAAAATCTGCCTCTAGACTTAGGAGCACTCTGCTTCAAGTATTTTTCACCTAGTAGTGATGTCTAGATAATATTTTGTCACAGATGAATATAGGAATATAGCCCATTTGCTAGGTATTAGTTCTCTAGAGTAAAAGCTTTCTTTCTTTGTTAAAATCTTGCGATCAGTAGCTATTAAAATATTATCTTGGGTTTTTACATTTTCATAAAAATGAACAAAATGAAACCTCTTCCTCACTGCCCTGACACTGAACTCTCGAGAACAATGTAGCAAAGCTCTAAGCTCAATGGTTCACGGAGCCATCAGAGCCCTCTGATGATGAAGGGGCCACGAAAGGCTCATCCTGCTTCTGATCCTCCTTCATTCCAGCTGCTTGATCGGTGATGGAGGAGAAGGACAGCTGGTCATGCTCCATGATGTGCACCTGGTCTTCATCCTTGTCCTTCTTCACATAGAACATTTTTCTGAATTTTTTCAGCTCATGGAGTTCACAGAAGGTTTCCAGGACAACCAACATGGCAATAAGGCCAAGCAGCAGATAACCTGTGTGAGAGAAATGACAGTGTCTCTGGGGTTTCATTACAGATGAATCAAAACTCTCGGTAAATACATTCATGATCACTTTCCTGATTGCTTGGATGGTTTGGACTACTGTGGCTCAAAGAGTGTAGATTATTCACTATAATATGGTCACGGTCCTCCTGTTGTTCACTGATTTGCTCGAGCAGGCCCAGTAACGTCTCCATCCTGAGACTTGCTGTTACTGTGTTTGGCATATCGAATACCTCACGGGGAGTTTGCCAGGCTTTGCCGTGCAGGCGAGATATTCTCGGTAGCTTGCCGGGCTCTCCGAGAGGGGCAGAGGAATCGAACTCAGGTCGGCCATGTTGGCTGCGTGCAAGGCAAACGCACTACCGCTGTGCTATCGCTCCAACCCACACTATAATATGACATGATTTATTTATTTATTGGGTTCTGGGTCATACCCAGCAATTCTCAGGGGTTACTCCTAGCTGCATTCAGAAATTACTCTGTGCTCAGGGGAAAATACAGAACGCCAGGAATTGAACCCGGGTTGGAAGCATGCAAGGCAAATGCCCTACCTGCTGTACTATCTCTCCAGCCTCAACATGGCATAATTTTTTGATTAAAAAAAATTAGAAGTTGGGGCTGAAGAAGCATTGTTTGAGATGACATACTGAATCCTCCCATAAGCAGTCTCCTTCTTCCCAGTCAGGGTGGCCTTGGAGATGTGAAATTTCCTCCAATCAAAGGTTCTCAAAGAGCCAGAGGCATTTAGAAAAAAAAAATATTTATCATGATTGCTCAGAACAAATCTAGGTAGGTACCATTTTTTTTTCCTTTTTGGGTCATATCCAGTGATGCATAGGGGTTATTTCTGGCTCATGCACTCAGGAATTACTCCTGGTGGTGCTTAGGGAACATATGGGATGCTGGGAATAATACTTTTTTGGTTAGCCACATGCAAGGCTTATGCCCTACCTGCTATGCTATTGCTCCAGCACCTAGGTAGGTACCATTTTCTGTATCTTATTTTGTTTTAGGACCATGCCTTTCACATGTGCCAGCAATGCTCAAGAGACCATATGGTGCTGGGGATCAAACTTAGGCAGGTTCCTGCATGCGAAGCTTATATAAGTTCCATCCCTTTGAGCCATAGCACTGACCTAAGCACATAATACTTTTTATTATTATTTGTGCCACACAATAAGATGTTTAAGAAATAAGAGTTTAAACTATAAAAACTCCTTTAAAGACGATGCAGATATTAAAATGGTCAGTGTCAAACATATATTTCTACTTATGTGGTATACAAAGAACCAAATGAATTAAATAAAACAAACTTTTGCCTAAATAAACAAAGTTTTGATTATCTAAGGTAAAAAGAAAGTGAGAAGTGGGTTAATTAGATAAAATGGTGTCACTTGAGAAAGACAGAATTAGACTTTAAGTAATAAACTAATACAAAATATATGAAAATTGGTGTATAAACAATGCCACCCTAAATCCTCTGATATAAACCAGTGCTACTTAATTTTTTTCCTAGATTTTACTGTTTTGTTTTTGCTTTTTTTTTGGGGGGCGGGGGCGGGCACACAATGAGTGGTATTTAAGTGCTACTTCTTGCTCCCGGGGATGCTCAAGCAGTTTCATGCTTGAATCCAGGTATTCTGCATGTAAAACAAGTGCTGAGCCCACTGTGCTGTCAATCTAGTCCAACATTTTTTTTGTTTTAATGTTTATTTGGGGATGGAGAGAGTAAGCAGCAGGTAAGCCATTTACTTTACATGAAGTTAATATGGGTTCACTTCTGCAGCACACAGAAATGGGTCATTGGGAGACGTCTGAACTTCTTCTGAGATCAAGTCACAATTTAGATTTCCATTATGTAAAGAAGTTTTGGTGTTTCGGTGTTGTTCGTTTTTATGATTTTAACAGTCTACTTAGTTTCATTGTGAAGTTACTATTATTTGCTTCTGCCAGTGTCATACCAGATAAATTTAAATAGGGCAATGATACTTATGAAAACCATGTTTACTGAGGATATGGAACTTTTTCTTTGATTTGCTCTTTCTTTTAATTCAATTTTTATTTAGGCACCTGGGTTTTTATTACACAAAACTGTAATAATGGAGTTTGAGAATATAATGTTCTAACCTGAAGCCCACAACCAGAGTTTCGATCACCACTACACCATGTCCCAAGGTTCCCTTCCAGGCCTCCAGTTCCATTTCCTTAGCAAACACATTTAAAAATTTTAATTATTATAGTTTGGGTCACAGATAAGGTGTTTGCCTTGCACACGACTGACATGACCGGTCCGGGTTCGATTCTTCTGCCCCTCTTGGAGAGCCCGGCAAGCTACCGAGAGTATCTCGCCCGCACGGCAAAGCCTGGCAAGCTCCCTGTAACGTATTAAATATGCCAAAAACAGTAACAACAAGTCTCACAATTTGTTGTGAGATGTTACTGGTGCCCGCTTGGGAGGACAGTGCTATAGTGCTACAGTGCTACAGTTTGGGCCACATGATTACAATAATGCTGACTCCTGGTTTTAATGTACTGTTACCTTAGCTCTACATGGAAGTGTTCAAGAGCCTTGACTAATGTTGACAATATCTTTCTGTTATTTCTGGTCACTCCACACCACCACCATTCTCACTTCTGTAATCCAGGGTAATGACTTTCAATTATTTGATACCTCCCATTCCCTTATCTTATTCTTCTCTATGCCACAGAGAATAAGATCACCCAGTATGTTCTTCCCCTTTGAATTTCTCATTAAGCTTGATACCCTCAGTTAAATAAAACTCCATGGTTTCATCTTTTTTGACTGTATAGTATTCCATTAACTATAAATAACTTCTTTATCTACACTCATTTTTCACTGGATATTTAGGTATTTCCATATCCTGGCTGTTGTACTAAAAGCTACAGTGAACATAGGTGCACAAATGTCTTTTAAAATTCATGTTTTTATGTTGGGTATTTGCCAAGAAGTGGAATCACTGGATCATATGAAAGTTCTAACTTTTCTGAGAAATCTCCATACTGTTTTCCATAGGGACTGAACCAGAAAAATATTCCTACCAGGACAGAATGAAAGTTTATATTTTACTACATCACTTCTAACACTGGTGTGTTTAGTCTTTTGAATATATGCCATTCTCAGTGGTGTGAAATGATATCTACTTATCACTGTAATTGCCTTTCCCTGACAATAAGTGATGATGAACACATTTTTACTGACCATATTTATAGTCTATGTGCAAGTTCCTGTTCATTTTCTCCCATTTTTTGATGAGATTATTGGTTTTTATTGTTGTTAATGAGCTGTATGAATACTTCATATTTTTATATTAAATCTTTGTCCAATATATTTTGTGAAAATATCTTCCTCCATTTGGTAGGATGTCTTTTTATTGATTTTATTGTTAAGGTGATTCCTAGCAATTTGATGTTTTGAGGGACTTTTTTTTAAGAGTGGGTCTGGGCCACAATGATGGTATACAGCTATCCAGGAGTTATTCCTGGCTCTGTTCTCAGGAGTAGCCTCTGGTGGTGCTCAGTGGACCATGTACCCAGGGTTTGAATCACGATTGCGATCACCATGGTTGAATGTAAGGCAGTGACTTATATATAAAGGTATAGTCCCTTTATATCAATTCTTGAAAACAAAACAGAAAATCATAAATACACAAAATAATCTTACTGAAGTTTTAAAAAATAATGTCCTGAAATTGGAAGCAATATAAATATTCAACAATAGAGGCAGTGTTAGATTGTAGTAGAGCCACCTGGTGATAAGTTATGAGGACATTAAACATTTATGGTAGCTAGGAGAAATATAAAAACATTTTGGTAACTGTTTGGTGTGTATTTATTGAACTTGTCTAGTATTCAGGCACTATTCACAGCCATGTCAACAGTGAAGTCTTTGTCTTGGGTGAGGCCCATAATTTAATAGACATGGTAAAATATACATAGTTCAACTATGCATTTTATCAGACTAAGACCAAAAAACAGGTCTGAGAAAGAGAAACTGACTGCCTGAATACCTATGATGATTTTCCTTGCAGACCTGACATAATGAAGTCTTGTAAAATACTTGAGAAAACAGACATAAAAATTGTACATACATTACAATGTAATTATATTTGTCTTAAAATGATAAGTTCTGGAAAGAGACACATAAAAACAAAGTTCCTTGGTAAATAGATTAGTAAGCTTTCCATATCAAATTGCTTTTTAAAAAAACTATTGAAAAATCAAAATTCACTAGCCAGTGAATTTTATTGCAATTATTGTCATAAGTTTCTAAAAATTGCTGACATTCTAACTAGCTAATTGCTAGCATCTAACATTCTAGCAATTCTTCAAAAAAGAACAAGATTGACAAACCAGACAAGCAACTGCTTTAAGATTTTCTTGGTAAGTGAAAGAACATGATTGATGCTAATGAGTTACATACTAGCCCCTAGTTTTCTTTAGTTCAAAGTATGATCTCAGGGTTGGGAAGTCAGTTCTCAGAGTTAGACTGCATACTCTGCATGCAGAAGGCCTAGGTTCAATCTCTGGCACCACAGGATTTGGGAGTGACACTCCAAGTACTGCAAAGTATGACACTGAAGCCAAAAGTAAATAAAAATTTCCAAATATATAAACTTACTCATATGTGTTACATACAGAAGCAAAGCAAGGAATGGCTAAAATTCAGGGAAAACCTTTGAATTTCTTTTTTATGTAGAAGTACTGCTATTTGTTCAGCCACTGATTAGGCTGATTTAATTGGGTATGAACTCCACAAAAACCCTTTAATCTTGACAACAAAGTTAGAGATACCAAGTAAGGGTTGAGGGGAGCTTGGAGAAGGGGAATAAAGTTCTGAACCAGAAGTGACCGAAGCACACTAGTAGGGTATATACCAAACCATTAACACTATCATAACCATTTTAACTCAATAATAAAATATCAATTAAATATCAATAAAGAAAAGTAACTATTTTAATAATAATTTTTTTAAAAAAATTTCATTCTGTGTGATTTTTTGATACTTTATAATGCCCATTACATTATTATTATTAAGACCTTGATTAGTAACTATAGGGAAACCAGGAAAAAATAACTGTTGGTAAGAAAATTTTTGCATAAAGAATTTTGAAGGGAATCTGAATGAAATAAAACATTTTTGGGAAGGTAGCAAAACTGAAAAAAACTATCAATCAAAATTTAGGACTTTCATAAATTAATATTCATTAGTAGGTGAGGTAGGATTTGGAAAGGAAAAACAGAGACTAAGGAAACAGTCTGTGAACCTTGATACTCACATGTGATCCCAACCTTATAGAGTTCTCGGAATTTCTGATTATAGCCTTCTCCAGGAACATAATCCCCTAAGCCAATGGTACTCAGGGAAATGAAACAAAAATAAAATGATTCTAGGAAGTTCCAATCATCCTCCAAAACAGAGAATACGGCCGCTGGGATAAAAAAGAAACAGGACACAGTGACAAACCCAAGGATAACAGCATGGACGATGGCCACCATTTGCTTGGAGAAGCCCCAGCGGAGGTGGAAGTAGAGGACAGGTCTTCGGGTGACGTGGATAGTAACACGCTGTACTACTGCTGTCAAGAACAAGAGCGTGAAAGGAATGCCGATGACCGAGTAGATGATGCAGAAGGCCTTACCCCCATCTGACAAGGGCACAGTGTGACCATAACCTGAAAGAAGAAGGAAAAAATGAAATGACAAAGAAGAGAGGGGTGGAAACATTTTTAAACAACTGTTTATCTTTCACCTCTATTCTCCTGAAATCCAGGAGCAGTGCCAGGCTTCAGGTCTGATTATTATTTGGGGTTTGGGGGCCTAACCTGGTGGACATCTGGCAGCTTCTCCTAATAATGCTCACGACCATATGGTGTTGGAGATGGAACCAGTAGGCCAAAGGCAAGGCAAGGGTCCTTATCCTCTGTACTGTCTCTTTTGGTCACACCCACTAGTCTGATACTTTAAATTTCACAGTGGATACTATACATTCAGGATGTTCACCATTCTTTACAATATTCTTCAGCTGTTTCCAACACTTCTTAATCATGTGATGAAGTGCTAATTTCATACCTCCTTACCCATTCAAGAAAACATATCACAGGACATTTACTTTATCAGGCCAAGAAATTCCCCTCTATCTGCAAGAATTCTCACTAGTTTACATTTAAATCTCAAACCATTCCAAGTGCATTTTCATAAGGATTATTAACATCTCTGTGGGGGAATAGAATCAGGTATTGTGGAGGAGACTAAATGAATACAAAAACACAAAAAATAATTAAAAGGAACATTCAAGCATACAGGATTGTGCACTTCTTTTAAAAATTTTTTTAAATGTTTGGTTAAATAGTACATTCAGAAATTGTGGCTTTCAATACCCAAAAGGAGAGAGAGAACAAAAGGGAATGCCTTGCCACAGAGGCAGGGTGGGATGGGGGGGTTGGGGGTGGGTGGGAGGGATACTGGGATCCGTGGTGGTGAGAAATGGGCGCTGGTGGAGGGATGGGTATTTGATCATTGTATAATTGAAACCCAAGCACAAAAATTTGTAAGTCTACAACTGTACCTCATGGTGTCTCTAATAAAAAATTTAAAACAAAAAGAAATTGTGGCTTTTACCCCTTGTCATTTCTGTAGGTTCTAAAATACCAAAAATTCTGAAACAAAGCAAACATTAAAAAAAATTAATTAGGGCAAGTGGTCTAAACTAGTTTTATTTTGAGAATTCTCAAATCAAGCCCACCACAAGACTCTTCATTCAGTAAGTGTAAGCAAAGAGGAATTCAGCTAGGAACCGGGCTCAAAATTCTCCTGAGTATTTCACCTGGAAAAGATTAACATAGCTGAACAAGTCAGTTCAGGAAAAAGCTAATGAAATGCCATTTTTGTGAAATTGGATTCTATAAAAAAAATTTAAAAACAACCCCCAAAAAACCCTCATGTGATTATAACTAAAATGTGGTTCTAAAGCTTGATTTCTAAAATAATTTTGGCTTAAACGTAAATGTCACTAAAAAAACTTTCAGCTCCTGATGCCTCAAACCTCTGCTTTGTTTTCCTCGAGGTAGTGGCCAGGAAAATATGACCATCAAAGTTTCCATACAATTCTGGTGCATGACCTCACCCCAACATTCAGGGATGTTGATCCACTACAAAAGGTAAATTCAGGGGTGGGAAAGAAAGGTATGAACTGACCTAAAAAGAGTACCAGGATTTCCCAAAAACTATATTGCAACCACCCACATTTGGCACTTTTCTGTGGAGAGAGTTCAAAGCTTAGATTTTTTCAAAGGATTAGGGGGTTTTGAGCATCAGTTAGTTCCTGAATCCATTTAGTTCTCACACCCAGCTGCTCCAGCAAAGCCACACCAATTTTTGAGCATGGTTAAAGAGGGAAATGGTTGAGCTATATTCTCCAGAAAATATCAGAAAGGATGCAGAAAGCATGTCAAAGCAATGTTCATGCACACAATGTCAATTAAAGACAACTGTTGATTTTGGGGGGGGTTGGGAATTGGGGAACTGACAAAGGAATGAGACTTGAATAAAGCAGTCCTAATCACAGAGGAAAGGAACCTATCAGTTACCATCCAAGCTAGGTGTTAAGATTTAACTATCAGAGATGGGGATAGGGTAAGGGCTGGAAATTGAATCTGAGAATGCAATTTTATTTAACCATAACCAAGCCACCAGAAAGCAACTCACAACTCACAAATTCAGTTGTGAGTCCAAGACTAAAAGAACAGATACTTGATCATTGTATAAAAGTACTTGATCATTGTATAACTGAAACCCAAACATGAAAGTTTGTAAGTCTACAACTGTACCTCATGATGTCTCACTAATTAAAAAAAAAAAAAGAACAGGTAACAATGTTCAAGAAGAAATAGGAAGGTGTAGATTTCACATAGGCAGGAATTATGTGGAGGAGACCTAAGATTAGCTGAGTCAATTAGACTAGGCAAAAGCCTTTATATCTCTGATCTTATTCAGTTTTTGGTGGCAACTTTGTAAATTCTTAAATAAAAGTGCAATACTACTGCACACATCCCACCTCTTTAGAATCTCTCTTGCAAGAAATTTCAGTTCCAGTATGGTAGAATAAATCAAAGTTATATTTTTTAAATGTTTTAGGATATTAGTTTTATTCTCAAATGATGATTGCCTTTTAGTAGAATGTTAATAAAATCTGTTTACTAAAATGATTTACCTAAGTAACAGACTGTAAGAGCTCACTCTGAAGTGACACATTTTTATATCAGTAATTTGTTCCCACTAAGAGATTGAAAAATCACCAACATGAAAATTTTACTGCATTCTAGTGTCTTCTCCTAATGTTTAGCTACATTATTTTTGATGTGATGTGAAATGCAAAATTTACACCTCATTTGTATTCTTAAAATTTCAGGGAGAGCCACATTGGGAAAGCCATTCTCTGAACGAAATCACACAGAAATTCTTTTGTACTAGACAGCTTAATGAATCAAATAGAAACCCTTAACTATCTGTATTGTAATGAAATAGTAAATAATTTACTAATGTTCATTCAACTGAATCCCCAGATAAATCATAAAGCAAATCTTGTATTTTAAATCAAATCAGTTAAGATTCATTACAAAACACAAAGAATTTAGTGAGCTTTGCATATGCCTTAGATATTTACTATTTTATACATATGTATATATATTTTTTCTAATTTTATTCATTTAATTTGTGGGGCTTAGACTGAGCACACCAAAGTATACTAAAATACAGATTTCAAAAACTTAGGATCATGAGATGAAACTACCATGTACAAATGTTCTTGTACTGTAGTATCCAACTCCATATTTGCTGGATATCCTGTTAACTCTCAAGTATCATATTTATAAGTGTCCTAAGAAAATTTTTTCCATTAAGTTACCATGATACATGCTAAGAAAATAAGCCATGGAATAAGAACCTCATTCCCTGAATTCAATCTCAGCAGAGAACTGAAATTTATCTCAATATTTTCTTTTTGAAAAAAATACTTTTTATTCATAATTTCTTATTTTAAATGAATCAGAGTGTATACACAGTCACAAAGTTGTTCATGATTGAGTTTCAGTCATATAATGTTCCAACACCCATCCACCTTCACCAGTATATACTTCCCACTACCAATGTCCCCAGTTTCCTTCCTCTTCCCTCCTCCCATGTCTCCTCCCCACCCCCACCCTGCTTTTGCCCCCCCCACACATGGTAAGCTTCCAACCATTGACCAGTCCTCCTGGCCCTTGTTTTGGAAAAACACTTTAATTCATAAGTGTCTCTTTCTCAGTAGACAGCCAGTCTCCCACCCTCACCTCCCACCCCCATCCCAATTCTATACCCTGAGTCTCTCCAGGGCTATTTGACCACAGGGCTATTCAGCCTAAGGAGAGCAATAATACTGGGGTTGTGTCTTCCAATTCATTGAATAATCTTGGGAGCAAACTTACTTGTTCTGCCACTTTAGTTTTCACTGAAAATATGTTCTACTTCATGGTTTCAATAAAAAGCTTCCAGAAATCTTGCCTACGATAGATCTTTATCTTTTTAATATTGTGATAATCCATTTCAAAGACCTGCATTTAGAAAAACTCTATGGATAAAATGACTATTCCTCCCAACAATGGCATCTACTGGTGTTCTCAACCTTTCTCCAATTGTATCCCCTTCCAAACTTTTCTTCCTGTTGTTCCTTCCTGCTCCCATCCTACCAGTTGGCTCCCTATTCTCAGGCATCAGTCCCCCATTTAATGCATTTTTTCCTTATTTTTAGGCCATACCTGGCAGTGTTCAGGGCTTGCTCATGGCTCTGCATTCAGGAATCACTTCTGGCAGTGATCACGGTGCCAGGGATCAAATACAATTTGATTGCATGCAAGAGAGATGCCCTGTATGCTGTTCCATTGCTCCACCCTCACCCCCATCACTTATGCACTTTTTACCTGTGGCTTTCTGGTAGTTATGTTGGTTGAGAAACACTGTTATGTGTAATAGAGATGTAAAGCTTCTATTACTTGCTTATTTATGAAAGGATGTTTATCTGAAAGAGGTAACTAAAAGGAGGATTAAATTAGACTAACTAGAAGTATTAGGAAACACTAAAACTGGACTATATCCAATACATTTTGTAGGATGTACAACAAACCAAAGGAAATTGAGTTAAAAAGTCACAGGGATTGTAAATGTCATCACCTTTGCACCCCCTTTTTGCTCCAGTCATGTGGTATTTTTCTAAACATTTCTTGTTGCTGCTACTTAATCACAGAGGTTTCTTTTTCATATCCAAACAGAGAGCAAGGCCAGTGGCATTCCTTGTTAAGATATTGCCCTTATTTATTTTTATCTCAGAGTATTTCTTTCTGAGAAAGAGATACGCTTGACACAACATATTTGAACCCCAGAGGATTCTAAAAAATTGTTTGAATGTCTCAGAACGGAACACCCTGCACTTTTGCAATGGATGTTGTAACTAAAAATAGCATAGTTGAAGAATAACTAGAAACAATAATGGCAATAAGCACCTGCCAGAATGCATCAACCTGAAGCTCCTTTTTTTTAATTGAATCACTGTGAGATACAGTTATAAGCTTTCATGTTTGAGTTTCAATCATACAATGATCAAACATCCATCCCTCCATCCCTCCACCAGTGCACATTCTCC